GGTCCCTTCCGACCCTAGAAACTATGAAACTATGAAAGAACACAAGAACTGCCGCTTGCTGGGTCAGACCATAGCTCCATCCTGCCCCGTGTCCTGTCTCGTACCATGGCAGGGAGCAGATCCTGATGGGGAGGGTCAACAGGACGTGTCCACAGTTTTCCTCTCCCTCTGCGACCTTCAGAGGCGTAGGCTGTATTTCTGTGACGCTGTGGTCTCCCAGTAGCGTGAAGGAGGGTTGAACACTTCCTGCCTAGGGCTGGGGGTCCAGTGAAATCAATCTCTCCTTCAGTGCTCCCTTTGGAAATCACAGCAGCCCCTTGGTGCAGGGAGCAACTTACCTGGGCAGGTGCACTGAGGATTTCACCCTCCTTTCCTGGGATTGGCTTGGCATGGGCCTCCTTGAAGGAGCACAACTAGTTGTCCTTCTCGTCCCTGGGGTTTTGTTCTGCCTCCGTCACAGGACTTTGCTCCGAAGCTGGAGCAGCCCCTGGAGGGGTGCCTGGAGGTGGGTGCAGGTGACGCCATTCTTGGTAGGCAGAGTCTGATTCTCCTGCGGTTGGGGGAAGCCCCCAGCAAGGCGGGGGCTGTGCAGCCCATGGCAGGAAACACAACCTGGCCAGTTCAGTCGGCATCAAAGGATGCACTGGGCATTTGACCTCAAACTTCTGGGGCTGGCGGGGCAGGCCCTGGGGGAAACTGGACAGTCCAAGGAGAGGCTGCTTTTACACATGCACACACACACTCTTGAGCAAAGAAACACATGCTCAAATGCGCACACGCTCTTGAGCAAAGAAGCGCACACTCGAGCAAAGAAACACGTACATGCCCTCTTGAACAAAGAAACGCACACTCTTGAGCAAAGACATGCACGCATGCTCTTGAGCAAAGAAGTGCGCACACATGCTCTTGAGCAAAGAAACCTGGGGTCTGGTCTGCACTGTTGAGTTGTATCACTGTCTTCAGTGAAGTCAGAGTTTTGAGTCCTCTTATGTTTGCAGGGAGATCATTTGGTGCGTGAGTTCAGCAGACGAAGGCCGTTATTCCATGCTTACATGGCTCTGTCAGCCAGAACACAGACAGGGGTGTGTGTGTGCGTGTGTTGGGTACAATTTTACAGTGTTGTGGCTTCAAGTTTGTCCTGTACGGCAGGCCTGAATCTGGACTTTGTTCTCCAGTGAGACAGATCCAAAACCTCCTGGAGGTGGTCAGACGTTTCTGCAGGTTCTGCCCAGGCTCAGACAAGTCTTGCCGTGGTGCAGTGAGGGGAGAGAAGGGGGCTGCAAAGAGGATGGAGCTGTTCTTGGTGGGGGCAGGTGACAGGACAAGGAGCAATGGGCTCAAGCTGCAGCAAGGGAAGTTGAGGTTGGATATTAGGAAAAACTTTCTCACGAGGAGGGTGGTGAAGCACTGGAACAGGTTACCCAGAGATGTGGTGGAGTCTCCATCCTTGGAGGGTTTGAAGACCCGGCTGGACAAAGGCCTGGCTGGGATGGTGCAGTTGGGGCTGGTCCTGCTTGGAGCAGGGGGTTGGACTACATGTGACTCCTGAGCTCCCTTCTACCCTCATTTTCTATGGTACTGTCTGAGTGGCTGACAGGCAAAGCAAGGTTACAAGTATTCTGGGATCACAAATCTGACTTCACATAGAAATGGTCAAAATTCAGTATCAAAAAGGCATTTTGACCAGGAAATAGAAGAGACTGTTTGGTTGAAAGGCAGATTGGTCACTTGGCAGTGTTATAGGGGATGATAGGGGCCTTGTTTTAGGCAACAAAACAGAAACTGAAAACTGAAAAATACCTGGTTTGACTGAGAACATCGGGTTGTGTTAAATGCATTTGAGGGAGAGATGTGGGGAGGGTTTCTTCTTTTCTTGAAAACAGAATATTGTAACAGAAAACCATTTTGAAAACTCGATTTATATTTCTGACTTCTTTCCTGTTGAACCCCCAGAAAGGTGCCTGTGGGACACTTGTGCTAAAGGTACCTAACCCAAATTGTTTGAGATTTCTATGAAAAATGATAGGGACGGGTGTGTGGGGGTACAGCTCAGGAGCGGATATGTTGTGCCCGGTGCTCGTCTGTATTGTATCTGGCTCCAGGTAGCTTTAGCCTTGTCTGCTGTCCAAGGCATGGAGCAACCCAAAGGTGTGGCTGGCAAGGCTGGAAACAGCCTGCAAAACCTGGTGACCAAGGAGGCGGCTTCCATAAGAAGCTGCCTCTGGTTTAATCTGTTCTGCTTTTGAAGGAATAGTTCACTGCGTTTCTGAGGCCTCCTGCATCTTCAAGGATAAAATATGTCTCCAGCACACTCTCCATATGAACCAGGAGATGCACACCAAGACTTGCTGGGGTGGGGTACAACTCAGCAGCCTCGTGCCTGGAACAGGTCTTGATTGCAGCACCGCTTGTCTCAAAACCTCTGCTCTAATGAATATAACACTGGTGGCAGGTTGGAACGGTGCATACTGTGGCTTGACTTTGGGGCAAGGGAGAAAGGCGCCTTCTTGCAGGCTGGGTCCATTAGGAGAAACCCTGCTGCTTCCCCTGGGAATGCAAGGCTTTCGCGTGCCCTGTCCTGCCCGGGTGCAATATTCACACCGTTGAAGAAACCTGGTGATATTTAAACCCCACTTGGTCTCTCCTGGCACATCTCATCAGTTAATTCTATATCGAAAGAGGAATGCCGGAGAGGAAGAGCTGGTTTCCAAAGAGGCCTTCCTTCTCTGGGACTTTCCAAGCCTCTTTGTCTTTCAATTCACTTAAAAACTCCATAAAAGGGAAAAAAACACCCCCACTCCAGCCCATAGCCCCGGGTCTCACGATTCGGTCAATCGTGGCTGTATCTCGCCATTGCCTTTTTAGTGCCTGGGCACCCAGACCCAGCCATAATGATTGCAGAGTCACTCTCCTGGGTTCTAGCAAAGCCAATGCTCGTTTTCCCGAGAGAGCAGCTTTGCAACAGAGCCACGGGTCGAAAACTTTTCCCTTTATTTGGCTCCTGCTACTTGAATTGTCAAAAAAAGCATCTCTTCTAACTGTGCATTCTGGCCATAGGCATCCATGGGGAGCCCCACCCCCAGCAAGTCTTGATGTGCATCTCCTGGTTCATATGGGACATATTATATCCTCGAAGAGGCAGAAGACCCAAATGTTGGATGATGACATCTTCCGAATATGGACCCGAGCATGACCTTGGATAGGGGACACGGGCATGAGGCCTTTACAGCTTTTAATGTGCACCTCTTATTTTGAACATCCACATCGAAGGTAGCAAATATTTGCAACCATCCCTAGTCCATTATGCCAGCGGTGGGTAGAAGTTTGCTCTGTTAATATTTAATGGTATTTCTCGTCCCGTAAATAGTGGATATACCTCATTCTTAATGCCCCTCTGAACCGCGTAAGCGCGTTATAGTCTGGAAAACTGAGACACATGGGAGGAGAAGGCTTTTTCCAAGAGGAGCCAAATAGATGACTCCATTTCAAGCCAAGGGAAATGGCCCATCTCGGCCCTTCTGAAAACGGGGCTCCCAGTTGGCTGTATTAGGCTTGCGGACTCGGAGAGCCCGGTGTTTCTTGGCTCCTTTGTTAGATAGTGAATGCCACTGTTTGGACCCTGAAATCCCACCTGTGTCTGCCACGTGCGGACAGAGCTGCGCCTTTGCTGCCTGGGGAAATTGGGGACCTCATTCACTGGACGTTTTCAAGGAGAAACTGGATGGCTCGTATCTTGCATAGGTGCAGGGCATTTCATGCTATGACCCTTCTGATCTCGGGACTTGCTGCATTTTTTAACGTGACCCCCAGAATAGCATGTGGAGCCCACATCCCCTTCTCTGTGTGCACGTAAGAGCTGAGTTTGTGGTAGTGGAGCCGAAGCCACAGGACATGTACAGCGTCGGAAGAGGCTGGGGAAGCTTCTGGCACTTGACTCCCCTTCTGCCGTGCTCCGTGTGACGTCGGCAGACCGGGGAAGTTGGGTCTCCGTGGATCTTGTAGTCCTTGGCACCAGCTCCGGGTGCAGAGGCTTCGCCTGCTCGTCATCCATCATCCCATGGGGAGCTGGCAGTTCTGCAGCCGACCGTGGGCTAGAAGAGGCCTCGCGCTGGGAGAAGGCTTGATGTGGTCTGCCTTGAGAGAGGCAAAGCTCTTTGCTTTGAAGCCTGGGGAGGGGAAGTGGATGCCTTTGTTCTGATGTTTGCAGGGCTTTAGAGCTATTGAAAATCCTCAAGCCCAGAAGACTACTCCCTTCATTACTCCCTGGGTTATTGGCCCCAGGTTGTCAATATGGCTCCGTCATGTGAAGGATTTGATTATTTATGTAGTTAATGTTTAACAGAGTCAAAAGTATTAGAATTAAACAGCTGAAGAGCTTCCAAGTTTGTGTGGTTTAGGGCTAATAAAACTTGTCTAATCTGGTGCTGTGCTTATGGGGGTGGGGAGAAAAGAGAAGGGGGAGGATTGTTTTCATTAGCTTCAGAGTGCTAAAATCTCCTGTGTTCGCAGCAGATGGGTGGGTTGCACACTGTGTGTGTGTGTGCGCGCGCACGCGTGCAGCAGACAGGTGGGTTGCACACTGTGTGTGTGTGTGCGCAGCAGACGGCTGGGATGCACATTGACTTTACACATTGACT